CATAATTCACTTAATCAAAAAATGTACCCAGAATTTTAGCATGGTGAGCCGTCATTTGTTGAATAGTATCCATCTAAACCATGGTCATCAAGGTAATCAAATATATTTGGTAAGTCTTAGACTTTTTCCACATTAAGAAAGTTTTGGTATTCCACTGTCTTGTTTGGTTGTGAGCTGTCAAATTTTCCTGTCTTGTTGCCAGAAATATATGTTGTCTAGTTGTTGACTCAGCAGTTCCTCTGTATTGTAGATATGGTCCTGCTAAGATTTTCTTCTTACCACCTGTGTTCAAATGATGGAGTACCTTCTGGTTTTGAGGTTCTTTAGTGACTCTTCTTTGTCAAGTCTTACCTCTGCTACTTCACTACTAGATCGTTATTTAGCCCAGTTGAAATATGGGATCATCTTTTGACTTCGTGGTGTCACTGGAAAACTTAGGTCTCCTAGTGGATGAAAATATTTCAATGACAGGGCTAATCTCCGTGTGGTATTCCTTTATCTCTAATCTTTACTTACATGTTTACATGTTATGCCTACACATACTGGGCAGTTTGATACTTTTACAAATACTTACCTGCATTCATAGCCAGGATACTGGTAACCACTATTTGGGGGCAACTTGTCAGTACAGTTATAGCTAACAAGTGTCCTCTCAATTTTGTCATATGACTAAATGGTTTAAAAGATTAAATGCTGGGGTACCTGGGTGGCTCAGTGAGTTAAGCCTCTGCCTTTGGCTCAGGTCATAATCTCAGGGTCCTGGGATCGAGCCCTGCATCAGGCTCTCTGCTCAACGGGGAGCCTGCTTCCCCCTCTTCTCTTGGCCTGCCTCTTACCTACTTGTGATCTCTCTCTCTGGCAAATAAATAAGTAAAATCTTTTTTAAAAAAGATTACATGTCTATCTAAGCAACTCTGCTAATCAGTGTAACTCTGAATAAGGCAAATAACTTCTTTTAAAAAAACAATAGTAACTGTGATATACTATGAAATTACCCTTTTACATTTCAGTGCCTTTTAATATATTCATAGAAATGTACAATCATCATTTCTGTACTACTGTAAAACATTTTTATCACCCCAGAAAGAAGCCCCATACCTATTAGCAGTAATTCCTCATTTTCCTCTTCTGCAATCCCTGCAACCGCTAATCTAACTTTTGTCCCTGTGGGTTGGTCTGTTCTAGACATTCATATGAATGGAATCCTACAATATGTGGCCTTTATGTTGACAGCTTCTATCACATGGCATGTTTTGGTGGTTTACCCATATTATGGTATATGTCAGTACTTCATCCGTTTTTATGTTGAATAACATTCCACTTTATGGATTAACTTCATTTCTTCTTTTCATCTCTTGAAGGACATTTGGGTTTCCACCTTTTGACTTTTAACAAATAATGGTATAAACATTCGTGTACGAGTTTTCATGTGAACATCTTTTCATTTCCTTTGGTATACATACACTTAGTGAGATAGCTTTGTAGTATGACAACTATTATAATGTCGTGAGTAATTTTGACAAACTTTATAAAGCTACTGCACCATTTTACGGTATCACGAGCAATGTATGAGAATTTCAACTTATCCCCATTCTCACTTGTTACTTTTGGTCTTTCATAATAGCCATCCTAGTGGATGTGAAGTATCTTATTGTGGTTTTGACTATTTCTGCATTGAGCAACTTTTTATGTGCTCATTGGCCATTTGTATTTCTTTGCAAAAATGTTTATTCAAATCCTTTGTTAGAATTGGGTTGTCTTTTTTGTGGTTTTGTTGTGAGAATTCTTTCTATACCTCGATAATAGACCCCTATTTGGTATTTTGATTTGCAAATATTTTTCCCATTCTCTGTGTTGTCTTTTAACTTTCCTGTTTGCAGTATGTAAATTTTTAATATTGATGAAATCCATTTTATCTAGTTTTTGGTCACTTTTGATTTGGTGTCATAACAAAGAAACCATTATATTGAGGTCTGATCCATTTGGCATTTATTTTTATATATGCTGTGAGGTGTAAGTTCAACTTTATTCTTCCGCATGTTAGATATATAATTATCCTACCACCATTTATTGAAAAGACTATCTTATTGAATTATCTTGATACCTGTATTGAAAATCCATTGATTCTAAATTCAAGGGTTTATTTTGGACCTGTAAGTTTTTTCATTTACCTCTATATCCTTATATCCAGATCACACAGTCTTTATTATTTTAGTTTAAAGTAAATTTTGAAATCTGGAAGTGTGAATCCTCCCAACTTGGTTCATGATTGTTGGACGCTGAGTTTCCATATGAATTTTAGGATCATTTTGTCAATGGCTATAAAATAAGAGCTGGAATTTTGATGAACATCACATTTAACCTGTAGATCATTTTGTGGAGTATTGCCATGTTTAACTATTGTTCTCTTAGTCCATTAACATGGGATGTCTTTCCATTCATATAGTCTTTAATCTCCTTCAATATTGTAATTGTCAGAATAAAAAGTCTTATATTTCCATATAAAAATTATTCTAAATGTTCTGCATTTCCTGATGATATTAAAAATAGAATTGTTATTTCATTTTGATTGTTCATTGCTAATATATAGAAGTAAAATTATTCTTAATTGATATTGTATGTTCTAAGCTTTCTGAACTCATTAGAGTTGCTTCTTTTTATTCTAATAGTTTTAATATTAGGTGGGGTATGGTGTTTTTTTTGGTTTTTTTTTTTTTTTGGTAGATTCCTTGGGATTTTTATGTATAAGCTTATATCCCCTACAAATACAGATCATTGTACTTCTTTCTTTCTAATCTCATTGGTTTTTATTTCTTTTTTCTGCCTAATTACTCTGGAGAAAACCTCCTGTACAGTATTGGCAAGAGCAGGCTTCGTTGTCTTAGTGAAAATACACTAGCTTTTTTCCATCAGTTAAAATGATAGCTGTACAGTTTTTGTAGATTCCGTTTGTCAAGTGTAGAAAATTCCCTTCCGTTCCTAGTTTGTTAAGGTTTTTGTTTTTTTAAATCATGAGTGGTTGTCATGAAATTTGTCACATGTTTTCTACATTTGTTGATATGATCATGAGGTTTCCTCTTTATTCTGTAAAAATAGTGTGTTAGATTCATTGATTTTCCAATACTAAGCCAACTTTGCTTTACTGAGGTAAATCTGACTTGGTCATGATATGTAACCATTTTCATTTCTAGATTTAGTTTGCTCCTGTTATGTTGGACATTTTTGGGAAATCTATATTCAAAAGGTTGTTATCAGGCTAATGTGGACCTCATAGAATGAGTTGGGAAGTGTCTCCTCGAACATTTTTTTTGGAACATTAAGCAAGGGATTGGTATTCTTTAAACGTTTCACCTGTTACCATTAAAGTCATCTGTTCAAGGACTCTTTGGGACTTAGATAGGTTAATTACCGTATGTATTTTTATAGGTCTATTCAGATTTTTCTTCTTGAGTCAGATTTGGTTGTGTCTTTTTATGTTTAATGTAATTAAACATACTGCTAATGTAGGACTGATGTCTGTTCTTTTCCAGTTTGTTTCCATGTGTCTTAAGACTTTTTGTTATCTGTTCATTTATTACTGCCTTCTTTTGTGTACCATTTTAATTCCTTTGTTTCTTTTACTGTATTTTCTAATATTCTTTTCATGGTTGCTCTGATATTTCAGGGAACATCTTACTTAAAATAATTGTTTTCAGATTAATATCAACTTAATTTCAATTGTTTACAAAATTTGCTCCACTATATCTTTGTTCCCTCCCCTCTTCTTTGTGCTGTTATTATTATGCAGATTACATCTGTATGTAATGTAAATACCTCAAGGCAGTCTTCTAGTTACTTGTTTATGCTATTGTCTTCAAGTCAGAAATGAGCAAAAAATGTTACAAATAAAAATATAATTTTTTTGTCTTTTAAATTTATTTATGCAGTTACTTTTACTTGTCCTCTTTATTTTTCATGTATATATGAGTTACTGTCTAGTGTCCTTTCTTTGCTGCCTGTAGGACGCTTTTGTACCCCTTGAGGGCGTGTCTATTAGCACTGAATTCTTTTAACTTTTGTGTATCTGGGAGTGTCATCATTTCTCCTTCACTTCTCAAAGGATAGTTTTGCTGGATACAGAATTCTCGGTCAACGGTCTTTTTCCTTCAGTAGTTTGAATATAATCATCCCACTATTTTCTGGTCTCTGTGGTTTATGAAAACTTACTTAAGATCCATTACATATGATGTTGTTTTTCTCTTGCTGCATTCAAGATTCTGAAGTCACTTTGACAATTTGATTATTATGAGTCTAGATTTGATTTGAATGTCTTTGAGTTTATCCTTCTTGGCATATACTGATCTTCTTGCATAATGTATAGATTAATACTTTTTCATCAGATTTGGCAAGTTTTGGCCATTATCTGTTCACATACTCTTTGTGTGCTCTTCTCACTTTTGTTTGACTTCCATTATATTTGTCATGTTTACTGAGTAATTCTTTTTCATTATTTTATAATAAATAACATAAGGTTCTCTGTAGTACTGGCTGAATCTCATAAGTGGTGTTCTTGTTTCATTGTTTGTTTAGTGTGTTTGATCGGGGCGGCTGGGTGGCTCAGTGGGTTAAAGCCTCTGCCTTCAGCTCAGGTCATGATCTCAGGGTCCTGGGATTGAGCCCTTCATTAGGCTCTCTGCTCAGCAGGGAGCCTGCTTCCCCCCCTCTCTCTCTGCCTGCCTCTCTGCTTGCTTGTGATCTCTGTCTGTCACATAAATAAATAAAGTCTTTTAAAAAGTGTGTTTGATCATAATTTACATTTCTTTTTTTTTAAAGATTTTATTTATTTGACAGAGACAGAGAGCACATATTTTATAATATATAAAATATATTGTTTTATCACATTGTGATTAGTGTGGTTGCTATCCTTTTGTACATGCCTAGTTCTTAATAACTGTAGTACAGCAAGTCCCTCATTCTGAAAAAAAAAAAAAGGCTTTATTTTCATGTACTTATTCTTCCAGGAGACCTTTAGAAACAACTTGTCAAGTCCTCACCATGAATACCATTGGAATTGCATTTGGAATGGCATTGAATGCGTAGATTTAATTTTTGGAGAGCGATCATCTTTATAATCTCCTCATACATGAATGTGGTATGTTTCTCCTCTTATTTAGGTCTTTTTTTTTTTAAGATTATATCCATTTATTTGACAGAAAGAGAGCCAGAGCACACAAGCAGGGGGAGTGGCAGAGAGAGAGGGAGAAGCAGGCTCCCCGCCAAGCAGGGAGCCTGATGTGAGGCTCAGTCCCAGGACCCCGGGATCATGACCCCAGCTGAAGGCAATTGCTTAACCAACTGAGCCACTCGGACTTGTGTGTATCTATTCTAGATAATAATGTTATCTTCATTATTTTTCCTTAATTTCTGGAAGAAATAGATGTTCTAGGAACTGAGATTCTGTTTGAAAAGTACAGATGTCATCTGCATAGACTAGACTCTTTAGTATAAAAGATCATACAAAATATATTTTTTATATGATGGTAACATTTCTTCCACGTGACCCTAGGAGTCTGCCTTATTTATAGTATTCCATGTCCTTGTTTTGTATTAATTACAGAGATGATGTCTAATAATAGGGAAATTATGTAGTAAGCCGTTTGTTTTTAGTGCTGTCAGCATCCCTTTGATCCTCTTCTTTCCCATTTAGAAGTGCTTCCTCCATCCTGCAAGCTTCTGGGAACTCAGTGCCCATTGTATACAGGATATGTACCCATTGAAGACCTTCATGCCCTCCGATATAAGGCTAACTGTGTTCTCACTACAGAAGTTTGGAATCAGAGAGGTAAGAGTCCTATTCCACTTGATGTTTCTGTTTCAGTCTTAAGAGCAACTCTCTGAGAGGGAGCTAAAGAACATCCAGGATTCTCGGAGGGATTTGAACGTGGATCCTATGAGAAGCATCATAGGAATTAGAGCTGTTTAGATTGTGGGAGACAACACGTCCAAAGTAAATAGTTTGATAATCTATTTACAGATCTTTTGTAAAGTCCGGGGTAGTTGATTTTTGCTGCTTTTGAAGGCAGTTGTAATTAATGGATAAACAGATATAAGAACTGTCCAAAGATGTAAATATTCTCAGAAGTGATACCTAATGGTCTCTGTGACCACTTGGAATGGAATTTGAAAATCTCCCTGCACTGTAATGAGAGGTTGGATTACATGCACTTAAAGGTCACATTTATTTCTGAGATTCTGACTATCTCAGTAAGGACAAATGAAACTGAGTATTATTGTGTGCTTACTTCACATGTTCCCATTTAATCATCGCCACAACTTTCTGAGGCATCCCAGAGAGGTAGAATAAATTTGTTAAGGTAACTCACCTAATTAATGGCAGAGCATACTTCTCCAGCATATCTTAGTCCACAATATATCTCCTCTAGTATATATTAATTTACAAGAGTAATTCCTTAAATTTGTATAGCACTTCATCATTTAGAAACCTGTCACAAGCATGGTTTTATTTGACCCTCATAAAAATTGGGTGAATTTGGAAGAACAGATTTCATATGTTTATTTTATAAGTGGAAAAACATGGGTTTAGAAACTCTGAGTTTCTGTAGGGTAAGAGGGCTCTGGGAGACCATTCAATACAATCTCCATATTTTGCAGTTGAGGAAACTGAATACCAGAATTAAAAATCAGTGTATTTTGTAGGTATTCTTTGATTTGTTTTGGAGGGAGGAGAAGGTCAGGCTAAATGATTTTCTGGGGGTACAGAAGGGTTGTGTTGCTTTTATCCATCCTTTAGTATACACTTGATAAATGCCGACTCACCACATTAGATTAAATGGCATTTTAACAGGCATTGATCAGAGGCACTAAGGGTTTAAGGAGAAAAACTTAAGGCTTTAGGGAGCAGGTTGTGGAAGATACTTTGGGTCATGAGATCCTTCTTGGTAGCCCTGAAAACATTTAAAGTGTTTTCTGCTCCTGGTTTAAGGGACACCTGAGAAGCAGGGCATGAGAGAATGGGTTATGTTGTTAGTTTGCGATCAGTCTGGTATGGATGGGAATGAAGCCTCAGCCCCTGCCACAATCCTGGGAGGCACTAGTCACTCATGGGTGTATAACACAGGCTCAGCGTGATAGCTCTCTTGAATATGGCATAGGTTGCAGATTTAGAACCTCAGAGATGGAAGGACCTTAAAAACCTCATATCCAAACCAGCTGATTTCAGTTTGATCCTAATTCAGGTTCTTCTAAAATATACCCAACAAATGGCCTTTAATTTTGCCAGTGGAGCGGTACAGTTAGCGACGGGGAAGTCCTTCAGCTTGTCTCTTCTTGGAAGATTTCTGTGCATTATTGAGCGGAAATATATTTTTCTTCAGCTTCAACTTAATCAGCATATTTGTGTTGTACCCCAATTCAAAAATACTGCTTTATTGTTCTCTCTCCTGCACCTCTAGTTTCTTCTCTCTGCTGCCTTTTGAGCTGCGGCACTATGCTGGGAGATGGGACTATGGAGACGAATTTAGGCACAGTCCCTGCCCTCAGGTGTTCTCAGTCTAGTGAGAGGGTTCGACGTGTACACAAATAATTACAACAGTATGGTATGCTCTACAATGGAGGTATGTACAAGATACTATGGGGTTTAGAAGAGAAATCATTTGATTGAGTATAGAGATGCCAGAGGTTGGAGGAACTGATGCTTAAGTGGCTTAAAAGAAGTAACGCTAGACTAGGAAGAAGACAGGGGAGTACCTGTTAAGCAAAGGCGTGGACATTGGAGATAGAATGATGACATGGGGGAACTACAAGTAGTTCCTAAAATTCAGACTTGTGGGCTGACAATAGGTCCTTATGTAGTATTCCATGAAATATGGATTCCATTTTGAGTGTTTAAGTAGGAGATGCTTTTGATGGTCACTCTGGCAGTACTCTAGAGTGTGTTCTGGAAGATACTCGGGTCTGGACAGGGAGATTAGTTAGTAGGTAAGATGATAAATTACCTAAGGCCAGAAGGAGTGGGAGTGGAGGAATGGAGCTAACCTCTTAATGAGAGGCTGTACAAACATGGACATAATAGAACATGGGAAAATTAATAGAGGGGGCAATTAAGGCTCTCAGACTTTGGCAAATGTGCAATCACCTATCTCCATCCCTGGCCTTGATGAGAAATCCCCTCATGTTTTCTGGAAGAGCATTGCTGCTGTTTTCTTTTGAACCAGGGCTTGACTGTACTGTTTTTTTGCAAGTTTCTTTTTGGGATGGCAGCTGTGTATGAAATGTTGAGTCTCAGAAAGACGTCTGAACAGCTGCAGACCTCTCATAGGATTACTTAGTTCCTGATCCTTCTCACCAGTAGCAATTCTCCCTCACTGCCACCTGTCACCCAAAGTCAGAGTGGAGGCTCTCATCTCTCAGACCCCCTGAGGGAAGAGACAGCGCTTGATGTCACTGTCTCAGTTCTGTTTTGCTTAGGAATTTTAGTGTTTATGGCTACCTCCCAGTAAAATACATTCAGTAATCAAAAATCTATACATGCACTATTCATTACCTCTTTTTTCAAAGCAATAGGAACGTGTCCTTTGGAAAATTCTCCACCTAGGGCTCAGAGGAGTGACCTTGGGAATTCAGGGAATGGATCTCTGTGACTAGAACAATTAACAGGAAATTATATTTAATTAGACCTTAGGTATTTTCAGTGAACCCTCTGTAAGTAGCCATCTAGAGGATGGTAAGGGGAAGAAGGGATGGGAAAGGGAGCTCTGAGTAGGACAGCAAAGCAGAATAGTAAAAGTTTGGGCCTGGGGACTAAATAGCCTAGGCTCAGATCTGCTCTTACATTCACCAGTGTGGTGTCAAGCATGGTTTTTCACCTCTCTGGTACTTGACTTTCTCTTATGTAAAATAGGGGTAATAATCTTTTTGGCAATGATTTGGGGAGGGGGTGATCTCAATGATTTGTAAGGATTTAATGGAATTGTTCGTGTAAATTGCTTGGAATGAGTCTGAAGTATGCTAAATACTGTATCAACTGTAATTGCTGCTGATGATGATGTTGACCATGAAAAGGATTAAAAGAAGATAGTTAACAAGAGGTGCTTATTATATTTTACATTGTCAATGAGACTCTTGGGGTTCGAGAAAGAAAGGATAACAAACTGATGTGAAGGTTTTCAATGGTGTGCTAGTATGAAGTCAATTCGTCAATTCTCTGCCTTCTTTTTTCTTCTCTGCCAAATAGGTTGGGAAGCCAGATGAAGTTTGTCCATGCCCTGATCACTAATCTATTGCCTTTGCTCTTATTTCCAAATAGAAACCTGTTGAAAAGTTGTGTTACACCTGAATAAAGGTTGTCCTAAAAATGTAGAAAAAATGCTTTGGAGTTGGTCAAATACTGGACTTGAAACCTGACTCAACTGCTTACTAGCTGTGTGATCTAAGGCATGTTACTACTTAACCTCATTGAACCTCAGTTGCTTCATCTAATATCATAATTAATTTGCAGGGTTTCTCTGAGGATATTTGTCAAGTGTATGTCATAAGCACTCTATAAATCATAGCTATCATTGTTAGTTCTTGGGCTACTCACCATGTGACAGAGACAACAGCACGCCCTGGTGGCTGGGAGGACTGCATGGATCCATCCTCAACTTGGAGTTGTGCTCTTCTGAAGAAATCCTACTCGGATGGATATAATACAACCTGCTAAGTGTCCTAGCACTTATCAGGTTGTATTATCATTGTCCGTGTCTATGGCTCTCGTCTACCAGACTCTAAATTCCTTACAGGCAAGGACAGTGCCTTATTCATCTTTGTATTCGGTGCCTAATCCCGTGCACATTGTAGGCCTCATTAAATGTTTGTTGAATGAAAAACTGAATCATCAACAGACATTAATTGGGCGCCTGCTCTGTGATCTCCATGGGCTCAGCTTTTTCCCGCCAGTTGCCTACAACGTCCAAGCTGTCTTCAATATGCTTTCTCCTGAAGCTTACTCCTATCTTCTAATCCTTTTGCTGAGGACTTTTCTGTGTAGTGCAAGGAAAGCAAATATATTTACTTCATCTCAAGTACCATCTCCAACCGATTGAGAGTACCTGCCTTGATTGTGTTTATAAAAAGGATTCTGAAGCCAGGTCTCAGTTCAGTGTGAAAGAGCGTTATGACTAATCAGCAGTGTTTGCCAAGGGTGGGGGAGAGGGGCATAACAGCACAAGGGCCATATCTGTGTCTTATTTGATACTATGTTTTCCGTGAAATACTCTGTTTCTATGCCTGCATTTTAGTCTTGGCTACTTGCAGACGTTGCATGGCTGCCGCTGCCGCTGCCCCTACTACAGTTGCTGCTGGTTGCTCCTTGGGTAGGACCAAAGTGATCATTGATCAGAAACTTCATCCTCACAGTCTGGGGTTTGCTCCTGTGGCTGGTATTCACAGTTTCCCCTTTCAACTTTACCTCAGCTATCCCCTTACCTACCACACTGACAGGTAGGCCTCCCCTTTCCGTTCACCACCCAAAAGGCTCATATTTCTTTTCTTATTTCGTATGATTAATTGTTCTTGTTCCATGAGAAGCCTTCTTTCTGTTAGAAGATGTGACAACTAGAATACAAGTTAAACGATTCCATCAGGGCGCTACAGTGAGTCATATAAGCTTCCCCTTTACAGTGGGAGAAAATTGCAGACTTTGGGGCAGGAAGAACTGAGAAGGGATGTGCGTTGTAGATGTGGGAGAGGAAGACGATAGCAGATGGAATAAGATCCTGGGAAACGATGTAGGTTGGGAGGGTGAAACCTGTGGCTCTAAAATAGGGATGGAGGGTTGATAGCCTTGGTTGAAAGGAGTTTACCTCCTCACTGGAGCGTAGGGATGGGAGTCAGGAAGAGTAGCTGAGAGGGTTGTTGAAGATTTGTAATTGCTGAGGTGAGTGATGGAGAGGAAGCTGACCCGGGACAGGATTATGGAGACAAACCAAAGTCTAAGGACTATTCAGGCCAAAAGGCTGGAGTGGGGCCTTTTGGTATGTTAAAGTGAGATACTATCATATTAAATGATATATTATACATTCAGTTAAAGTGAGAAGCCAGTCTGAAACGTGATTAGAAACTCAGGAAATTATAAAGTGGTCTTAGGCCACTGTCACAAGTAAATTTGATTGCCTGGGACCAACCTTTATTGACTGAGGAGTGGACAGCTAGCAAGAGAAGGGTTACACAGAAATGAATTTGGAAATCCAGACTATGTGTGGAAGGCAGTTAGGTCAGAATTGAGCTCAAAAGTCTGAATACAAAGAGGACTTGGTGTGATCAAGATGGGTGTGGAATAGTTGGAAAATTGCAATAATAGGACCTGTAATCAGAGAGTAGATTTTTAGAGATTTCAAAACTGGAGTGGTCAAGATACTTGCGAAACTGGGATGTCAGATGGTCAGCTACATAAATACTGAAGTGAGCCAGGATTATAGCAGAAGCCAGACTGGGAACAAACACTGGGGGCCAGATAGAATAGGCTTTGGTGCCTGAGGAATGGTTAGAGGTTGGCTCATGGCAGCGGTGCAGGTGCAAAAGAGGAAAGGATGTGGCGGGATAGTAGTAGGAGCCGCAAAAGAGTGGCAAAGATTATTAGAAGTTACAAAAAAAATTTAATTTGCACATTGCACTGTGGTGTTAGCTTGCAGAACGCCCAGCTAAAACGATCCCCTCATTTACTGAGCTCCTGCTCTCTCCCTGGCACCTTGCTCTGTACTCTCCATTTACCCACTTTGGGTCTATCACATACCAGGTGTGAGAGAATGAGCAGCGGTCCCAAGCAAGGACAGCTAGGGTAGCTGCTGGCCCTCAGAACTGATGGAATGCTGTGGCCACCTCAGCAGACTGGGCAGCTTGAAGTGGCATAAAAAGATTTCCTTAGGATCAAAATTTTCCCTTGACATTGACCTAACTTTATTACATGGTACAAGCTCGTGTTGGCTGTTCCATAATGTACTCTGGCTTCCAAGCCTCTGAGTTGGGGAGTATGCTGGTACTGTCCTTTAAAAAACAAAAACAGGCACAACACTTGAAAAAACACACATATTGATTAACTCTAAAATAAGACACTCTGGTTATCTATTTGAGCTTTTAAGATAAAGGATAGATCAAGGAAAACTCACATTGATGGGTGAATAACAAAACCACTTTGGAAAACCACTCTGAGGTCAGGATTGTCCAGTTTAGTGGACTTACTATAGATAACTGCTGTGCTGTCGGGAAGGAGGGCTAGAAATTGAGGCAGAAAATGTCCCTTAGGACCCAGAAGGTCAAGTTTAGGAGAAGAGAGTCTCTCTGTGAACCCTGTGACATTGCATGTAGTCATTTTTCTTCAGTTACAGTCTTCACATGAGTTATGAAATTTCAGTGAAGGTTTAGAGCCACTGTTATAGAGAGACCAGGCCCTCAGACAGCTCATCCCCTTCTTTGGGGGCTGCTTTATAATTATTCCTCAGGAGGATCTGGTAGAAGACTTCGTTGGGGGAGAAGAAAAGGCAAGAACCGGACAAGGACTACAGCCTGTCTTCATCTCAACTTCACAAAGCATGATTCAGCAGAGGGATCGTTCTCTTGAGACTCTCCAGACCACAGGTTGCTCTTTTCAGTTGCATGCTTAGCCCTCTCAGCTATTTTCTCTGCTCAGAAATTGTATATGTGCATATACGAAGTATCACTTCCATAAAGAGTACTCCACATTCCCAGGGGAAAAAAAATCCCTAAAATAAGGTGTAAGGCAGGCAGTCAGCTGACTTGAAAGTAACCCCCATCCCTGCACTTCATATTACTTCTTTTTCCTTCTGCTCCTTGACTAAGATACCACTGATGACAGCAAACCAAAGCCATACTCTCTTCTCCCACTGGCACTTTTCTGGCCTGCGTGAATGCTGTTAGAAGTCACTCTTTCATTAGCACGTCCTTCCCATTTCTTAAGACCCAGAGAGTCATGAATGCTAGAGTTGGGGTCGAATTTGCCCTACTTGGCCTCTGTGGTTGGGGAATACTAATGTTAATCAGCCTCATACCCACTCGCTCCTGATTTCATGACAGATGCTAGAGAAGCTGTAGCCAAGGCCGGCAACCCTGTAGACCCCAGCCCCAGGACTTATTCGATGTCTCAGCTGGTTACAGAATACTGGTAGGAGGGCTTGCCTTAACCCAGCCCCCCTTATGAGTTAGTCATCAGAAATCAGGACTTGTCTTAGGGTATATGTTACATAAGGACAGATACCTCAGGGATTAATAGTAAACAAGATCAGGAGTCCATGTTACCTTTTCTCTCTTTTGGGAATGGGTGGCATAGGGTAAGTGGAAAGTCTTGTGCCTTTCAAATATATTCCCAGTGATTCCTCAGGATACCCTGGGTCACACCATCTGCTATCTTATCCCAGGTCTTGCCTTCCTTCAGAGTTTTTCTGGTGCTCTTCTTGGCTCTCACTGACCACCTTTTATTCCCTGCCCAACCCTGTTGGGTTTCAGCAGGTGTTTTGTTTTGTTCTTTTCCTTTTCCCTTCCTCAGGCCACCTGTGACAGTCATCACCTGGGAGGAGCCTTGTTGTGAATGAGTGAATGAAGCCTCAGTGAGTGAGTGGAGTGGCACTCATGTTTTTCTCTGAATATAAGGAGAGGGAAGGAGGCCATGAAATCCCATAATGGAGTAACAGAAATTTGACATTTTAGTAGATACTGGACCTAGAAGCCTACATGAATGAAGGAAACAACCCTGAGAGATCTTGGATGTGAGTGAGTGAAGATAGGAGTGAACTCCTTATTACCCTGAGTAATGGAGGAAAAGGGGAAAAAAGTGTGAGGGAAGTCAAAATCCTTTATGTCCCCGGAGGAGGCCCTGAAACTAGCTTCATAAACCAGTGACTTTTTAAGGTGGATTAAAGATGAGTTGTTGCACCGCACTACTTCCGTTGCTGTTTGTGTTGAGAGTTGCTGTTCAAAGCCGGTTTCTCAGGTACAGCTGCCTTTGTGGAGACTCCTCTTGACCCCTATTGAAAAACAGCCCAGAACGAGGTTTGCAACTTAGAACTCTCTGGATCAGTGACAGAGTTTTAAAGGGGTCGAGGACAGAGGAGGTAGCACAAGTAATACCAAATAGCTCAGGTTTTTATATATATATAGGATGGATGGGATAGAGGCGGAGAGCCCAGTGGTTTTAGGCAACTCCAAACACCCGGTGAGGCATAAGGAAACAGTACACTGAAAGGTCAGCCCTTCAACCTATTATTTGTCAATCTCCAGAGCATGATAGAATATCTAAAAGTTGTAAAAGATTCTTTCCTAGAAGAGATTCAGAAGAGGGGAACTTCCCGTTATGTAATACGGGCATTACAGCTTTTAAAGAGTTCCCTACATAGGTCATGGAAATTGTTACTCATATCTGCCTGTGGGTGACCAGGCAAGTATTAACTTTGAGGTTTCATGCCCTTGGAGAGATCCTGCCACTCTCTTGCTTTGACAGGTGTTCATCTGCAGAATGAGTCCAGTACTTGAAGAAGTAAGAGGACAACAGGCATCCAGGGGACAGCAGTGTGGTCTTCTAAGTGAAGATGGCAACAGAAAAGATCATGGACTTGGCTGGATTGGGCTGGGCTTATTTGTTGTTTCAGAATTTTAAAAATACTTTTTTTTTTCTTGACAGTAAAAGTAACAGATGATCATTGTTGAAAAATCAAAGGTATAAATTAAAAAGTCAAGAACACCTATAATCTTATAACCCAGAAAACAACTCAACATTTGAGTGTTGCCTTTTGCCCTTTTAAAAAAGAATGTCTGCAACAGTTTTTCACATTTTTATTTTAATTTCAGTTAGTAAACATACAATGTTCTGTTCATTTCAGATGTACAATTTAAAAACAAAATTGACATCATATTGCATATGTTGTTTTCCATTTTTCTTCATTTGAAAATAACGTATTTCCATGTCACTACCATTCTTTGAAAACACAGTATTGGTACATGGTATTTCATAGGGATCTAACAAAATTTAGGTAGGTAATTGAATGCTGCTGGACATTTTGCATATTACCAATTTTGCCTATAAAATGTAATAAACGTTGTATGTTAATCACTGTGTACATTTCTAATTATTTCTTCCCAGTAAATTTCTAGAATTGGAATTACTGAGTTTGATGAGAGCATTATTAGGGCATCTGAAAGGTACTGTTGAATTGTCCTCAGTATAGTTGTAAAAATTCATTCCCGTCATTGGTGTATGTACATGCACGTTTCTCCACACATTCATCAAAATATGGCCTTTCCTCTCTTTTTATAAATCTTTGCTCATTTAATAGGTAAATGTAAGAGATTGATTGATTGATATATTTATTTAAGAGGGAGAGCATGTGTTGGGGGAGGGGCAAGGGGAGAAGCAGTCTTCTTGCTCAGCAGGGAGCCAGATGCGGGGCGAGGGACCCTGGCATCATGACCTGAGCCAAAGGCAGACGCTTAACTGACTGAGCCACCCGGATGCCCCTGTTCTATGGGTTTTGACCTAAAGCAAAGCCAAGAGTTGAATGTTAACCTCCTGTGCCATGTAGGCACCCCTCCCTGTTCTTTAAGTTTTTAAATTCCAGTTAACACACATTGTTCTATCAGTTTCAAGTGTGCAGTATAGTTATTCAACACCCATACAGCACCCCATGCTCATCACAGGTGCCCTCCTTCATTCCCATCACCTGTTTCACTCATCCCCCCAACCCCCCTCCCCTTGAGTAACCATCAGATTGTTCTGTATAATTAGTCTGTTTCTTGCTTTCTCTCTTTCTGTGTCTCTGTGTCTCTGTCTCTGTCATTTTTTTTCCCTTTGCTTGTTTCGTTTGTTAAGTTCCACATGTGAGTGCAATCCTCATATATTCTTCATACAAGTCCTTTGCCAGGTGTGTTATTTGGAAATGGATTTTCAGAGGCTGTGGCCTGTCTTTCCATTAGCAATACTTTGCTCAGAGCAAAAGTGTTTAACAGAGTCTACCTTATCCAATATATGACAATGCAAGTTGGGATGGGTATAAATGGAGTTGAAGATTAAGTGTTCTAAGCCACTTAAAATTATCCAGGAGGTGTTTAATTGTAACAAATATTTATTGTAAAACTATGACTCTAAAGATAGATCTAAAAGATCTATCATGATTCTTACACTGTAATCCCCTTCCCTTAAATATGGGCAGGATCTGGGGCACCTGGGTGGCTCAGTGGATTAAGCCGCTGCTTTCAGCTCAGGTCATGATCTCAGGGTCCTGGGATCGAGTCCCACATCGGGCTCTCTGCTCAGGAGGGAGCCTGCCCCCCCCCCCCCCCGCCATCGCCTGACTCTCTGCCTACTTGTGATCTCTCTCTCTATATCAAATAAATAAATAAAATCTTAAAAAAAAATGTGGGCAGGATCTGTGTCTGCTAACCAACAGGGTATGGCAAAGTTGATGGGATGTTACTTCCATGAAAATGTTATGTAATATTGCATATACATTTAAAAATAGCCTCAGAATATACAAAACATTAATTGAAGTCCATGGAGAAATTGCAAATCTACCGAGTGAATTAAATAATTCAACACCTTTTCAGACTGAGAAATCATATAGGGGTGGCTGAGGGCTCAGTCAGTTAGGTGTCTGACTTCAGCTCAGGTCATGATTCCAGGGTTCTGGGATTGGGCTCCTCACTCAGCAGAAAGCCTGCTTCTTCCTCTCCCTCTGCCTGCCATTTCTTCTGTGCTCTCTCTGTCAAATAAATAAATAAAAACTTTAAAAATACATATTTTAAGGGGCACCTGGGTGGCTCCGTCATTAAGCATCTGCATTTGGCTCAGGTCATGATCCCAGGGTCCTGGAATTGAGCCCCCCATCAGGCTCCCTGCTCAGCGGGGAGCCTGCTTCTCCCGCTCCCACTCCCCCTGCTTGTGTTCCCTCTCTTGATGTCTCACTCTCTATCAAATAAATAAATCTTTAAAACTTTTAAAATAAATATATATATATTTTTTTAAGATTTTATTTACTTATTTGACAGAGATCACAAGTAGGCAGAGAGGCAGGCAGAGAGAGAGGAAGGGAAGCAGGCTCCCTGCTGAGCAGAGAGCCCGATGCGGGGCTCGATCCCAGGACCCTGAGATCATGACCTGAGCCGAAGGCAGCGGCTTAACCCACTGAGCCACCCAGGCGCCCCTATATATATATTTTTTAAAACAAATCACATATACCAATCAACAGCATACAGAAGATTTAAACAACCCAACTCACCCAATGGAAATACTGTGCTTCTGACTTGAAGAATTACAGAAATAATTCATCCAAAGCATTTGCAATAGTCACAAGAACTGGTTCTGCATTAGATCAGAAAGATTACTTACTAACTTAAAAAATTGGCATTATATGACTCATGCTGTCTTACCACACTGAAGTTATATATTAATAAAGGTAAATAAAACATCTACATGTATTTCATAATTTAAAGCACATTTCTAAATACAGTACTTGGCTTTTTCTGATGGGATTATTTCACTTAGCATTATACTCTAGCTCCATCCATATTGCAAGTGGCAAGATTTCATTCTTTTTAATGGCTGAACAATATTCCATTGTGTATATATACCACTTTTGCTTATTCATCTCTGGATAGGCACTTGGGCTGTTTCCATAAGCTTAGCTATTATAAATGCAATAAATGGGTGCACATACCTTCTGAATTAGTGTTTTCATTTGGATAAATATCCAGTAGTGTGGGGCACCTGGGTGGCTCAGTTAGTTAAGCATCTGCCTTCAACTAAGGTCATGATCCCAGAGTCCTGGGATGGAGCCCCATGTCGGGCTCCCTGTTCAGTTGGGAGTCCCTGCTCTCCCTCTGCCTGTCTCTCCAGCTTGTGTGCGCACACACTCTCTTTTTCTCTCTGAAATAAAATCTTTTTAAAAAAATATATCCAGGGGTGCCTGGGTGGCTTGGTGGGTTAAAGCCTCTGCCTTCAGCCCAGGTCATGATCCCAGGGTCCTGGGATCAAGCCCCGCATTGGGCTCTCTGCTCAGCAGGGAGCCTGCCTCGCCCTCTCTCTCTCCTGCCTCTCTGCCTACTTGTGATCTCTGCCTCTCAAATAAATAAACAAAATCTTTAAAATACACACACACACACACACATATCCAATAGTGGAATTACTGAATCATGTGGTAATTCTATTTTTAATTTTTTGAGGAACACCCAAACTGTTTTCCACAAAGGCTGCACCAGTTTGTTTTCCCATCAACAGTGCATGAGGGTTCTTTCTATGGGTCAAGTATGAAATGAGGGACATCTTAAAATTTAATGATAATGAAAACACATTAAAAACCTGTGAGATGGGGGGAGGAGTCAAGATGGCGGAGAAGTAGCAGGCTGAGACGACATCAGGTAGCAGGAGATCAGCTAGATAGTTTATCAGACCATTCCGAACACCTACAAATCCAACAGGAGATTGAAGAGAAGAAAAGCTGCAATTCTACAAACAGAAAATCGACCACTTTCTGAAAGTTAGGACCTACGGAGAAGTGAATCCAAAGTGACTGGAAGCTAGACCACGGGGGGAGGGGCTGGCTCCCAGCAAGCGGCGGAGCAACAGAGCACAAAATCAGAACTTTTAAAAGTCTGCTCCACTGAGGGACATCGCTCCAGAGGCTAAGGTGCGGTGGAGTCCATGCGGGGACAGCGTGGTCTCAGGTCCCGTGGGGTCACAGAAGGATCGGGGGTGCCTGTTGCAGAGCTCGCGGGTATTAGAGCGGGGAAGCCAGCTACAGAGACAGAGCTGAGGAGTGAGCTCTCAACTCGGGGTTACCTTAAACTGTGATCTGTGGCACAGGCCACTGCTCTTTAAGCAGGGACCCCACGAGTGGCAGATCCAGGAAGAACCCCCTGGAAGAGCAGCACGGATCTGCTGGGTTTGGAGACTCCAGGTGGGGCTGTGTGCCAGAGATAGAGACGCTTGGTCACAGGCTGGGTGAGCTCGGAGGGCTGCCAGAGGTCAGGGAGACGGGAGTGATTGGGCGCTTTTCTCCAAGGGCACACTGAGGAGTGTGGCCAATAGCTCTCAGCTCCTCCAGGCCAGAGACTGGGAGGCTGCCATTTTCATTCCTGTCCTCCAGAGCTCTACGGAAAGCAGAAAGCGTTCAGGGAACAAAAGCTCCCAAGAGTGAACCTGAGCAGATTACTTAGCTGGGCCCGTGGCAAAGGTGGTGCAATTCCGCCTCAGGCAAAGACACTTGAGAATCACTACAACAGGCCCCTCCCCCAGAAGATCAGCAAGAAATCCAGCCAAGACCAAGTTCACTTCTCAAGGAGAACAGTGGAATTCCAGAGGAGGAGAAAGCAAAGCATGGAATTCATGGCTTTCTCCCCATGATTAGTCTTGCAAAGTTAATTAATTTTTTTAACTTTATTTTTTTCTTATTCTAATTTTCTTAACTTTTACTCTTGCCTCTTGTAACATATTTAACTAGTTTATCTTAACAATATGTTTCATTAAAAAAAATCTTTTTGAACCTTCATTATCATACTCACTTTATCCTTCATTGTATCTAAGTTTATTTTTTGTATACACATAGGGTTTTTTCTTCTAAAAAATTTTGGGATACAACTTTTTTTTTTAAGATTTTATTTATTTATTTGACAGAGATCACAAGGAGGCAGAGAGGCAGGCAGAGAGACAGGGGGAAGCAGGCTCTCCACTGAGCAGAGAGCCCAATGCGGGGCTCGATCCCAGGACCCTGAGATCATGACCTGAGCCGAAGGCAGAGGCTTAACCCACTGAGCCACCCAGGCGCCCGGGATACAACTTCTTCTAATAGATCAAAATATACCCTAAATCTAGCACAGGGTTTTGTTCTAGTCTCCAGCCTGAGCAAATTCTCTCCACTTTCTTTTACATTCTTTTACCAACCAACTTATCAACTCCTTTTTTGAATTTTTTTAAAATTTTCATCTTTATAGTCATCTTCCATCTCTTCATCATGTTTACCCTTATTTGTGTGTGTGTGTGTGTGTGTGTGTGTGTGTGTGTATTTTTTTCTTTAAAATTTTGGGAGGTAGTTTCTTCTGAAAGACCAAAATACTCCCAAAATT